CCTTTTTTTTTTTTTTTTGAGACAGAGTCTCTCTTGTCACCCAGGCTGGAGTTCAGTAGTGTGATCTTGGCCTTAACCTCCTGGGCTCAAGCGATTCTCCCACCTCAGCCTCCCAAGCAGCTGTGATTACAGTCTCAGGCCACCATGTCTAGATGATTTTTCAATTTTTTGTAGAGATGGGATCTCACTGTTGCCCAGGCTGGTCTTGAACTCCTGGGCTCAAGCAATCCTCCTGCCTCGGCCTCCTAAAGGCTAGGATTGCGTGTGCCATCCTCTCCCAGTGCTGGGATTACAGGATGAGCCACCTTGCCTGGCGAAATGTTAAGATTTCTTAGGAGTTATTGCCTCAGTGCAGTAACTCTTGATAATTAAGGGCTTATACCCTGTGGTAGTCAAGATTGTAGTGGTTTTCTTTTGTCTTTTGAAGGTAAGTTTGTCTCCTATAGAATTTTGCTATCTAACTTTCTGTGTGCACACTGCAGGGAAGATTAATGATCCTACAAATGTTTTTGCTCAGGAGAGCTGTCTTAGTTGGATGGTTAAGAGGCATTGCTCTGCAGTCCAGCTCTGAGGGATCACACTTGCAGAGAAAGAATTTAGGCAGATAGGACTTAGGGAGACTATTTGGAAACTAGAAATGAGTTTAAAAGTAAAGAGAGGCCAGGCACAGTGGCTCACACCTGTAATCCCAGCACTTTGGGAGGCTGAGGTGGGTGGATCACTTGAGATCAGGAGTTCAAGACCAGCCTGGCCACCATGGTGAAACCCTGTCTCTACCAAAAATAAAAAATTAGCTGGGCGTGGTGGTACATGCTTGTAATCCCAACTACCCGGGAGGCTGAAGCAGAATTGCTTGGACCCAGGAGGCGGAGGCTGCAATCAGCTGAGATCATGCCACTGCACTCCAGCCTGGGTCATAGAGCTAGACCTTGTCTCAAAACAAGTAAGTAAAAATAAAGAGAAAATAATTCAGAATGGAAAGCTGAAGGACAAAAGGGCAAGGGCATTGCCTCACGAATAGGAGGAATTGATACATGTGAAACTTGGTGAGATTACTGACAATCTCACATTTGAACACGGGAGTCATCAGAAGGAGTTTGCCTTCCTCTTCCTTGCCATACTCCACCCTTGTCTTGGTGTTTTCTCGAGGGTCCTGATGTTCCTTCCTCTGCCCAAGGAGCTTATACAAAGAGGAGTCTAGTGATTAAAGAGCACAGAGAGGTGAACAGTAACTTGTAGCAGAGGCACTCAGGAATCCTGCACACACAGAGGAACATCATGGGTTACAAATGAAGTCTTTTGGTCAAAATTAACTTTATTTTTCAACTTCACAGGGATATAACAAAATTGGCACACACAAAAAGGATACTGATATTGGGCCTGATTAAAAAAAATGCCTCTGGCCAGGTTGTAAAAAAAATGAACCAAGATAAACATAGAAGTTGGAGTTGTAAAAACGTGAGTTGGAATTCGTTCTGCCATGATCTATTTGACCAGAGGCAGCTTTTCCTCTCTAAGCCTATTTTACGTCTGTCAGTAGATTTGAGATCACTCATTTTACCACTGTAACATTCTGAGCCTTTTGTCACTGTGTGTCCCTTTGTGGCCATGTGAAAGACCACCGTGCTGTAGGCTGAGAAGGCCACAGTGGTTCAGGTGCTTTGAGGACCTGGTCTTGGCTCGATAGAGCCTCACTGGTGTTTGCTCAGATTGGGCAGCCTGGGCCCAAAGCCATTTGGCTAAACAGGCTGGTGACACCACACACAAACTTTAGG